ATTGAAGAGATCAACGCCGAACTTTGGATGACACGACTCTTCCTCACCAACATCTGCTTCCTTTTGGACTTGTGTTTCTTCATCAACAATATACTGGAAATGAATATAAGAAAATTTATAATATTAAAAATATAAGAAATAAATACATTCAATGAGAGACTCCAAACAATAAATCTTCAATCTTATTGTTTTTGTATCCTCGATGGACCGAACCATGCGTACTAGATCATCTTGAGATAACAAACACCATGGTGCATCGAGGATGCTAAGGCAATAAGATTCAATGTTTATTGTTTATAAGCTTTGATTCATTGAAAAATCAAAGGTATCTTGCTTGATTTGAAGGAATGTCATTGAAAAAATCGAGAGTATTTGAGGGAAAAATAAAAAATCTAAGAAATATATGTGATTTAAAGAAATGTCACTAAAAAAGACTTATTTAAATCGTTGAGATGGAAAATGAGAATTCGGGTGTGGGGGGGGGAATATAATTGAGAATTGTTTTTTTTTTTTCTTAGCTTGCATATACAACAGGACAAGTGTTGATACTTAATCCTAAGTTTCGAAACTCAAAACCTAAAATGTTACCTATTACAATCTAAAATGTTTATATATTTTGATAACAAATTCAGTTGTAGTATAACGTTTTAAAACTTATGTTTGAGTTTTGAAATTTGATACCTAAAGTATTACCTATTGTAACCTAAAATGGTATATGTTTTGCTAACAATTATGATTGTGTATAATGTTTCAAAACTCATATACGAGTTTCGATACTCAAAACCTAAAATGTTATACATTTTGATAACGACTCCGGTTACAGTCTAGTGTTTCGAAACTTATGTCTAAGTTTCAATATTCTTGTTCAACTTATTTTCTTCAAAATGATTTCCAATAATTAAAGGTGTTAAAGATATACTCGGAGTTTGAAGAAACACATGAGATTGCACAAAATACAGGAAAAAATGGCACAATTACAGGTGTTGATAACCCTTGATTTGTCGCAAAATCACAATAATATTCCTTGATTTGAAGGAATACGATTTCGAGAGGATTTTAACAAGAGCTTTTCTTTATCCTTTTGAGAGAATATGAAGCAAACATTGGATTTTGCTTTTTTTTTTTTATGGCGATAAGTATCGGTATTTATTAAGGTTTCAACCTAAATTATTACCATGGAAACCTAAGATATTATATATGATATTTTAGGTTACAACCTAAAATGTTACCCCTTATATCTAACGACAAGTATCGATACATTTAACTGAAAAAATATTTTTCAGTTTCAACCTAAAATTTTACACGAGTTATAATCTTCTCAAGCCTAATACGCCGAGTTTTGAAACTCATGTTCCAGTTTTCGGGACTTGAAACCCAAAACGTTACATGATCCAACCTAAAACGATATATTTTTTTGTAATTTTGTTCTCTGACTTTCGATATTTTTACCTAAAATGTTATATATTTTCGTAACGTTTTAAGTTGCGACTGGAAAAATTACCACCTTTAAATACTTGATTATGAGTTTCAAAATTTATTCTTTTGACCTAATGCCTAAAATATTATATATTTTGACAATGTTTTAGGTTACAACTGGAAAAGAAAAGCTATCCCTTTTAAATATTGCTACAATTTACGGACTAAAACTCATTTTAAAATCTTTTAATTATTATGGTAACGTCTTAGGTTTAAACATAAATTGTAACATGAGATTTATTAATCTTCTCCCTTCTTTTTAGTATAGGTTTTTTAAAATTGTTTAAAGTCCATAACAATCTTTTATAATATAACAAGTAAATATGTTGAAAGAATGATTAAAATGTCAAACTACATACTTAGATTTTCATAAAAATGTTTTAAAGTCATAAAATTTTAGGTTACAACAACAAATGGCACCCTACATATACCAAACTTAAAGGCCAAACCAAGATTCGGATGTACAACACACACTACATTTACCAAATTCAAGGGGCAAACACAGGTAGAAATACTGAGTAGGGTTTGTACAGTGAATCTTTGAGAAATACTGAGCGAGAATCTATTTGCTTGGCTTCTCTATCACGCTGGTGGTAGCTATGCGATACAACCTAGGTTAAAAAAGAGTGGAAATGAGCTACCGGTTTTGATATTATTAGGCGTTTACCGATATTAGTAAAGCGCTATTGGTTTTATTATTTTTTTCTACTGGTTTTGTTATTATTGGACACTTTTACCGGAAATGTTAAAAAAATTGATGTTTTAGGTAAAAAATAATAATATTTAAGGTAATTTTTACCGATTTTATTATTTAAATAATAATAAAACCGATAGTGCCTTATTTTAGCCGTATATTAAGGTGTTGCACCGTAGAACTTCCCAAATTTCATTAAAAAATATAACATTTTAGATTACAACTTAAAAAGTTTGTAATTACATTTTAATAAAAAAATGTTACGATTTTAAATTGTATTCAACTTAAAATATTATATTTTTTCAATAATATTTTCAGTTGTCTTCATTTTTATTATTTTTTTATCTTAAATTAACTGAATTTTTTTTAACTTTCGCCTGTCACGCATTCCTCCTCAAACGATTAAAAATGGAAAAATCCCATTTTATATACTTACCTCAAGGATCTCTTTCGTTTTCAGCTTGATTTTCATGGTCTTTTGTCTCTTTTTGATCTTAACAACACTTTCCTACGATCCATTCTGAGTTACTCCCCGTTGTTCTCTTTTGTCCAATCTAACACCAATCAATACTTCATTTCGACGAACGTGTTATTGCACCATAGATATAGTTGACATTCAAAGATATTCTTAATATTTCAATAGGGACGAATTCAGGAATTAGTGTTGAGGGTTGTGTTCAAACTGTAAAATCTTGGAGCGGACTAAGTTAAAAAGATTATTTTAAGAAGGCTTGAATTGAATTATTATTTTTTAAGGACTAAAAATATAATTTATCCATTTGGATGAAGGGTTAAAAGGTTTAAAATAAAAGTTTAATACTAACAAGTGACTGAAAACGAAATTTGCCCATTCAACAAGAGGCGAAGCCAACTACCTGTCTTGATCAGCAACCTTTCCTCAACACAAAATTTGGTTGGTTACATTTTAGTGAAAGAGTTGATATTAAAAGAAAATCTTTCAGATAAAAGGATAAACTTCAAGACTGATCACTTTCGTTTAAGTTTTGTATACTCTTTTTCACTAAATTCAAAAGACATAATATTTGGTCATTTTTATTTTTATTTAATTAAGATTTGGTCACTTTCGTTTTTATTTAATTAAAATGTGATCACTTGGGGTTAATTTTCGTTAGATCTTTAACAGATTGCAGACGTGGCACAACAAATTTATAAAATTAAAAGGGTAAACCACACAAATGATCACTAATGTTTGAGTAAGTTTTCATTTCCCCATTGAAGTTTCAAAAGTAACAAATTTGTCACTAAAACATCAAATAGGTCCTTAAACAATGATTTTATATCTAATTTATTCAAAAAGTTTTCTATTTTTTTGTTTTTCCTTCGAAATATTTGATTGTTTCATGTACAAAAAAGTTAATTTCTAAATTTTATTTTTTTTAAAAATATATATACATAAAAATTGGGGAAAATGGAAAAAATAGAAAGTTTTTGGAGTAAATTAGATATAAATTATTGTTCAATGACCTATTTGATATTTTAGTGACCAATTTGTTACTTTTAAAATTTTAATAAAAAAAAGTAAACTTACTCAATCATTAATGACCATTTGTGTAGTTTACCCTTTTAAATTTTATAAATTTCTTGTGTCAGGTTAGCAATCTGTTAAAGGTCAAACAGAATTTAACTTTCGGTGACTATATCTTAATTAAATAAAAATATAAATGACCAAATATTATGTTTTTTGAATTCAATAAAAAAATGTACAAATCTTAAACGAAAGTGATTAATCTTGTAGTTTATGCCGGATAAAATTATTGAGATGAATATTAAATATATTAAATAATTGGTTGGTATAAATCATAAAGTCAAACTATAATAAATTTCTCAAATTGTTCAGAAAACAGTGCTTAAAACATTCTTCTTTAAAATGCCGAAAAATATTTAATTATTTAATGATACCTATCCAGCTGTAGGTGCAATTACAATTATTTAAACCAATACCCTCAATTAACAATACAGCTCCCACGTCAAACATTCTTGCTCAATCATAACCAAAGAGGAACAATGAATAGAAAATATACACACGTGTGGCCTTAAGTTTGGATTCTTCAACAATCTAAGTTAAAAAGATATATGCACCGATCAAGTGATCTTAACGATTAAAAAGATGATTATGATTTTTAGATGTTTTATGTTCAAATACGATGTTTGCAATATTGTTTGTGTATTTATTATCAATGATTGAGTCTCTTGAACATATAATACATTGTAATCACCCAAAATTAATTAAAAAAAATTAAAGATATCCCATCCTAATTTTTGTTTTATTTGGACGTAAATAAAGTTGTAATATTTGAAAAGAATAATTCTATTAAAATTGGAATTTCATTTAAAAAATAATAATTATAAGCTTCAAGCCTCATAATTCTTCTGCAAATGGACTTCCATGTTCAATGACAGTGTCAACTAGCATATGAAACTGATTTTAGTCTCTCATTTGCATTACAAGTTCCAAGTCAACACTCTTTTGAGTGGTTGGCCTAGACATTTTCCTTTACCATTCCACGGCAGGCCCCAACAATGCTTTAACAGAAGATCACAAGAATTCTTGGTAATGATAATTCCTTTTTTCTTACAGAGGACACTGGTTTATGACATCAACCATTCATAAACAAATAGCAAAATTAGAGGAAAATGCCAAGAACAAAACCATGTTATAAAGCTAATAAAGGCACCTGCAATTGCAACACAACATTACAGAGAATTTATAGTATAGGAACAATGGTTGTGTCTCTATTTCTCCTTTGCTTTCCACTTGCCATGCAAACTTTACAAACTCTCCTCATAGCATGCTTCGAAAGAAAGCCGAATAAAGTTCGTTTAAACAAGTTACATCTGTGTTATGGGTTTGTGACTAATCTCCACGTGAATTCGTGAATGCTGGGATGTTGAGAAGTGTAAGGGATTTGACACTATACAATGAGGAATCATCACTTCTTTAAGATGGTAGATAACAAAACCATCCTGTATACCGAGGGCGAGTACAATGCAGCAAGTTCCGACTCCAGAATTCAAATCACACTAGCAAGGAACCCTCTCGACTTGCTTTTATCACTCGGGAACTGCAGAAGTTTCATGCAGTCATAACTTGCTCAGCATGTGTGTTTATGCAAGTTAATCTATCCTAGGCACTACAGTACGAGAAACCTCTTCCCAACTTCAACTGCGGCAAATCCGATATGCTTACACAGTCCACTCTTGCCAATTTCTTCCTTATTTTCTTCACCGATTCCCATCTGCCAGCATCAGCATAGATGTTAGAAAGCAAAACATAAACAGATGCCTTATTGGTCTCCAAAGGAAGGAGCTTATCGGAAACATTTTCAGCTAATTCAACCCTTCTATGCATTCTACATGCATCCAATAAAGCCCCCCAAACACTAGCACCAGGTTCTATAGGCATGCTGTCAATGAAGGATAAAGCATCATCGATCTTCCCAGCCCTTCCTAATAAATCGACCAAACATGCATAATGTTCCTGAGTTGGAACAATCCCAAAATCCTGAGTCATTTCTTTAAAATATTTCCATCCCTCTTCAGTCTTTCCAGAATGACTACAAGCTGACAGAATTGAAATGAATGTTACGGAATTAGGCACTTGGTTTTTCGATCTCATTTCGTCAAAACAAGCCAAAGCTTCAGAGCATAAACCTTGGATTCCATAAGCATTAATCATTGCACTCCAAGAAACTACATTCTTCAATGGCATCTGAACAAAAACTTTTCGAGCCATTGCAACTGAACCACATTTGGCATACATGTCTATGAAAGAAGTGTAATTTACATCATCGAAGCCAATTCCTTTTCTTATCATGTAACCATGAACACTCTTCCCTTGTTTCAAAGAACCCCATAAGGGGCAAGCAAGAAGAATGCTATTCAAGGTAGCTGAGTTTGGAGTTAAAGGCTGCCGCAACATATTTCTAAACAAGGCAATAGCCTCCAACCCCTTCCCATTCTTGGCCAATCCCGATATCATCGAACTCCACAAAACCACATCTCTTTCACTGGCATCTTCAAATAATTTCATTCCAAAATCAATCAAACCACATTTCAGATACATATCTATAAGGGAGGTCTGCAAGTAAACATTGGAACCAATGAAGTTCTTTTTAATACACAAACCATGAAACATCTTGCCTTCTTTATCAGCAGAAACATTTCCGCAAGCTCGAACCAAACCTCCCACCGTAAAAGCATCCAATTCCACACCGGATTCCTTCATTCTACGAAATAGTTCAAAGACTTGCAATTCGTCAGAAGACTTCAGATACCCTTCCATCATAGTACCCCAAAGAACAGAATTTCTCTCAGGAAAACCGTCGAACACTTTCCTAGCATCTCTCAGAGAACCCAATTGACCGTACATCTTCCCAAGAGCAGGCGCTACATACGCGTCTCCTTCCAACCCAAACTTGACAGCCATAGAGTGAATCAGTTTTCCGTCTTTCAGGAATGAAAGTCCAACGCATGCCTTGATTGCGAAAACTAAATTGAAACTGTCAACCCCAACAATCTCCCGTCGCATTCGACTAAAAAGGCGTAAAACATCGAGGAAAAGCTTCTTGTTTGAATACCCAGAGATAACGGTGTTCCAGGAATGGAGATTCTTGCGAGTGATGCCATCGAAGGTTTTCTGGGCAAATTGCAGAGAACCCAAGTGGATATAGGCGTCGGTGAGCCTGGAACCGAAAACGACGGAGCCGTTGAACCCATGGAGAACGATACACGCGTGGATTTGTTGGGTGAGAGTTAGAGTTTTGGTGAGAGGGAAAAGAGAGAAAAGGAGGGTTTTGGTGTGGTTTTGGGAAGACATGGCGGCGGGGAGTTATTTCTAGCATTAACGCCTTTCTCAATCCAAGAAGTTGATTCCTTTTGGCATCCAGTAACCTTTAAATCAGAAAGTAACGAGATTTACCTCACTTTACTACGAGATTGAATGAACATCTTGAAAGACTTTGACAATTTGATTGAACATTCGCCGGGCAATGAAATTATTTTGCCACATTTTCGGCTCGAAACAAGCATTTTGATTTTCAATCAAAGAAATATCATTTAGAACAGCTTCCAAAGCAGGGATAGCTTCAGCTTCTTACACTTGAACCAATGCAAATGCAGCTTCATGAGCCAACAAATTTGATTAATCCCACGCTGTTGCAACAACATAGATAACAAATTTGACGGTAGCGAAATGGGAGATTCTTGCTCTAAAGTTAATTGATGAAATTTGCATTTACTCAGTTTCCATTTGTATGATTTTCCTTAGACATGTACTTGCAGCTAAGCTATAGAACTTTTTCCCCTGATCAATGGTTTGGCTTCAAACAAAAATGATGCAAAATGGAATTAGAAAATCTACTCGTAAAATATAAAGTACTTAGTCCCGTATCTACCATTAATTAGAATATACAACAAAAAATCTTCAGAAAATATTAGGAAAAAAAACTGAAATTGTACATGTAAAATAGTGAAACGAACGAACCTAAAACGAGAGTCTTTGAGGTTCTAAAGCATGGATGGATCAAGGGGGAGATTGCATAAAAGTGTCTCTCAATGTGCGCCGTTGTTGGGTACAACTATCCATGCTGTGACAATAAATTTGATCGGCCTCTCAGGTATTAGAAACCACCGGAGAATGTTTAGGCTCGTGGCGTCTTTTATGGTTATGTTGTTGGTCATGTACTATCTTACTAGGTAACTGGTGTGGGTATTAGATACAAGTGCAACCTTCTCTTCTACCACATGGTTGCTGTAAACAATGTGCTTCCTACATGAAGAATATTTTGGCATGTTTGTATAAACATGTTTCGATATTATATCAAACAAACAGGCCTTTGATTGCAGTGAATGTGCCATTTTTTTTGCATGTACGACATAAACAATCTGTGCATAATCACTCAGCTGTTCCTGTCAATGGGAATTTGAGATTTGAAAAGCATATTCATGATTCATCACACCTTAACACATTGGAATAATTAGGTTAGATGGTGAATTTTGACCTAAAATCTCATCAAACCTGCAATTACAGAATTTAAGTTGGCTAAACCTTTTTACTTTTTGTGAGATAACAATAATAATATTATATACATTCAAGATTATTGCACAAAAATAATATTATTAGAAAATTACATTATATACAAACGGTGTAAATTTTAATTTGTATGAGTATATTTATTGTAGGATTAAAAGATTTTATTTAGAATTTAAGGTTTATATCTAAAATTTAGACTTCAGATATTAAAATGTAAGGTTTTATGATTTATGATTTAAACATCAAAGTTTAGAATTTAAGGTTTTAACCTTTAGGATTAGAATTTTAAATTTGGGTAAATTACATCATTCTTCACTCAAATATACTCTCTCTCATATTTTATTTATTGTATTTTCAATTTTTCTAATTTACTCATTAAAATTTAGAATTGTTCTTGTTTTGATCACTCTGAATTATTTTACTATTATTTTTGTATAATGTGGTTTTTTTATTATTTAATATAAAATAATTAAAAATATAAAATAAAAACATAAGGTCAGACGCCACTGCAGACAACCATCGAAGACCGTAGATGGTGGTCATTCGGTCTCAAATTTCATGGGTCACTTTGTCTCGACACTCTGAGTCTGAATTCACCCTCCATTTTGCCAGAACTTGCTCTAAGTCCACGAATTGGAGATTGAAAGTGAGGAAGTTGAAACGTTTCAGTCGAGATTCATGGGTTTTAGGATATTTTATGGTGAAACAACCACCAAATTCAGACTCAGGGGTTGAGACAAACCGACTCAGGGGGTTGAGAAGAACCGACTCATGAAATTTGGGATCAACAACCACCATTTACGACGATCGATGGTGGTCGACGGTGGCGTCCAATCACCTTATGTTTTTATTTTATATTTTCAATTATTTTATATTAAATAATAAAAAAGTCACATCATACAAAAATAATAATAAAATAATTCATAATGATCAAAACACGAGCAATTCGAAAGTTCAGTGAATAAATTAGAAAAATTAAAAATACGCTAAGTAAAATAGGAGAGAGAGTACAATTTAGTGAGGAATGATTTATTTTACCCTTTAAATTTTAAGTTGCAAAGGTTGTGTGGCATCATCTAATCTGGTTTTCTGGACGTATCCCTAAGTATAGTATTATACTTTGGATGGTCATCTTGGATAGACTTCCTACCAGAGCAAGGTTGTTGCGAATGAGACTTGCCATAGATAATGACAGATGCTTGTTATGTAACTTGGAGTCTGAGACTCGGAATCACTTATTCTTTGAGTGTGTATATGCGGGGAATATCTGGAAGGCCATTCTGCAGCTCTGTGGTGTTAGAGATTTCCACTGGGATGGCGAGCTAGCTTGGGCCACTCACTGTTTTGAAGGTAAATCTCTCATCACAAGAGTGCTTAAACTTGCTTTGTCGAGCCATGTGTACTGGATTTGGAAGGAGAGAAATGGAAGATTGTTTGGGGGAGTCCTTAGACCGTGGTCTACTATCCTAGAGGATGTCAAAGCTATTGTACGTATCAGGTTGAGTGGTTGCTCTATCAACGGTGGAGATCGGAGGAACGCTACCCTTTGCGCTAGTTGGAACATTGCGTGATATCTTGGAGCGTCTCCCTTCTCTGACGCTCATCTTATATTGGTTTTGGTTATTAGCTGCTAAGGGCTTTTGATGTAAATACCTGTTGTCCTTGTTGTTTCTTGGTCTCATGTAGCAGTTTTCTGCTCCTCTTGGGTAATAAATTCAAATTATCCAAAAAAAAATTGAGTAAAAATATATAATAACTATATTATTTATATAATTTATTACACAAAAATAATTTTTAAAATAAAATTTAATATTTTACAACTACATGATTGTGGGGTAAACTACATGTTTAGTACTTTAATTATCAAATTTGTTCCGTTTCAGTATCTAAATTTTTAGAATTTGTTTTAAACCATATCTAATGTTTATTCTTTATTTTATTTTAATACATCACTATTAAAAACTTAACGAATAAACTAATTAGTATGATGTAATATTTTTTAATATTTTAAATTATTTCTATTTAATCAATATAACGATGATATATATCACAACCTTTTTGAAATAAGGCCATGCAAAGTATGGGAATGGACTCCCATAAAGCAGCAGAAGCATGGCCACTGGGCCAAGCTTTTTTTTATATAAAAAATTAGCTTATCCTTATTCCGATATGTAACGGAGTAAGGGGAGGTAGGATAGTAGGCTACCCCCAACGTCAGATTGCGAGCAGCTTCCGTAGGAGACCTCCGAATTTATGAAATGTCCACCGTAAGAGTCGATCCCACGATTTTTTTTTATATAAATTCACCGCAAAATAAGAAATTTTAATTGAAATTACGACTTAAACCTAGGATTTTCCCCCAAGAAAAATTAGTTTCCAACCATAGTCTATGAAATTGGTTATATATCATAATTTTATATTTAATTTATATAATTATTTAATTAAAAAATTAAATTATTGAATTATTTAAAAATATAAAATATTTTTTCATTATAAACTAAATAAAAAATCATTTAAAAAGTCGTGTTTTTGGAAATTCATAAATCCTTTATTAATTTAATATTAATTAAATAAATATAAATTTTAAACTATTTATGATAAAAATAATTTTAAATTTCTATTATATCAGAAATACATATATTAAATTTATTTTTTAAAATAGTTTAATATTGATATTTTAAAAATATATATTTAATTATTTTTATTTCAGAATAAAGTTAAAATAATTTATTTTTTAACTAAATAATTTGGTTTATAATGAAAAATGTCTTATGTTTTTAAATAACTCAACAATTTAATCTTTAGTTGACCAAATATATTTTATTTATTTCAATAGGGTGGTATCACGTGTCATTACCCTAATGTTATATAAAAATAATAAAAAAATATTATTTTATTATTGACATAAAAGTTTAAAAACATTAAAAAAAATATCACATCCTATCATCTCAGTGTGTCTGTTTTTAAATACTAAACATATACTTTATCCATGATTTTATTATTACATCTATCACTTCCGCGGATATATCACTGTATCTCAAAAGATAATCAAATCAATTAAAGAGAAACTAAACACATGTAATGTATATTTATTTTTCTTGATTCTATCTAAAATAACTTAGATTGTAAAATAAGAGATAAATCAAAATTAGGGTTTGTTCTCTCTTTTTCTCCATTTTCACAACCGTCGTTAGACTTTTTTTTCTTTATTTTTTTTATAGACAGCAGTACTAGTCTTAATATTAATTGTCGACAGCTGTTATTCATTATTTTTCCTTTGTTTTATTATATTATGTATTTTTTTTTCTTGTTTTTTATTCTTAATAATTATGCCTTTTTGGCATGTATTATTCTGTATATATGACACGTTTTTTTGCCTCTATGACATATTTTCGGTTGTTTGACCATTGTTTTCGTTTATTTTTTTATGGTTGGATTTGACATCGCCACGTCAAGATGGCGCTTATTTGTTATCGTGATGATCTTTCCGACTTTGGATCCTCATATTGAATTTGGATTTGCGATTTGCGTTCACGGATATTATTTTCACATCGCTCGATTCTGATTTACGGAATGCTGGTGATCTTTCAATAGCTTTTTTCCCTTTTATAGTTCGTTTGTTGATACAGTTAGATCTATTCGGATTTATCTCTTGTCCGAGTTTTTTTAACCTTTTCCTTGTATGGTCTTTGTGTGATCTTAAGTGGTTAGTTTTCTTGTGTTTAAGAAAATATTCTTATTATATATTTAGTTTATAGTTGTAGTTATAAACATTTATTGTAATTTGAATATTTTTTATTTTTAATAAAATTAACTGTTTATGTAAAAAAAAACCTAGATCGTTAAAATATAAAACTATAAATTTATAAAATTAAATTTCTTTAAAATAAAGTGACGAAATTAATAATAATACTTTGTTCCTACCCTGGAAACCTGCATAAAAACCTCATCGATATTCTTATCATATTAATATAAATATTAACCCTAAACTATAAATCTTAAACTCTAAATATCGAATGCCCACGGATTCTCTCTCCTCATCGCTTCTTCTTCTTCAGGAGTGAAATCATTGTGGATGTTGAACGTCTTCCGAATCTCCTCCGGCGACTTCCCCTTTATCATGTCTGCCACTATTTGACATGTCAAATCCAACAAGCTCGTCACATTCAAAAAGTTAGCAGCCTGCAAATCAAATTTTCAATTTCAACTTATTATTATTATTAGCATCTAACAAAACTTTCATGGCATTGGCAATGGCAATTGCATAATCATAAATAAGAAAAGAAAAACCAGAAACTAACCATGATGAGGTCATGGAGGGTGTCTAGATCAACTTGGAGAAAGTCATCGTCATGAGTTTTAAGTCGATCGTCATTCGAGTTAATTTCCCTATGGGCCTGCATCTCACAATGCTCAAGGACCTTGGATAAGATCTTGCCGGTGACGTTAGGGATAGGGATTTCTTCGTCGGCGCAACCGTCTTCCATCATCTTATTTATCATGTCTAAATGAAGCGCCACCACTTCTTCTACCTCGAAAATCTCTCCATCTGAGCTCTTCAATATTATCTTTTTAGAAGCCGATGCCATTGCTGAATGTAAAAACCCTAATCTAAAGAGAGAACAAAAATTTAAACTCAACTTGCCAATGTAATTGTGGGGGAGAAGAGTTGGGGAATTTACTGGTATTTATACAAGGATTTAATCCTTTATGAGAAATCTAATTTTACTCAAATTATGATTTCTTGTACATTAAATAAAATAAATCTAATAGAAAATACAAAGAAATATTAAAACAGCGCGCTTGTTCTTCAAGTAACAGTGGATATTATCAATTAAATATCTGAAAATTTAAAGATTCTTTTTTTTGGATAAGTAAAGATTTTATTCATCCAAAAGGAACAGCAAGCTGCTACAAAGAACAATATAACACCAAGACAAATCCCAATCTAGACATAGCCTCCTATTTACATCATCAATCAAGTTCATACTGCATCTATACAATTTAATTCTTATAGAATCTCTAATTTTATGAACAATTGTATCAACCGAACGATTAACACCTCTAAACAGCCTATGCTTACGTTCCTCCCAAAGAAAATAGACAAAACCAGTCCAAGCAAGCTTTAGGATACAAACAAGAAGGGATTTACCCCTCAAATTCAAGGCCAGCCAGTGCAAAGAATCATCCCAGCAAAGAATCGGCTGGTTATGAAGACCACAAGTCTGCAAGATTACATCCCAAACCTCTCGGGCGAAAGAACATTCTAAAATCAAGTGATTCCGAGATTCCAGCTCAACTCCACACAGACCACAGATATGATCAACCTGAATTCCAAATCTGGCTAACCTATCCTTTGTAGGAAGCCTATCCATAATCACCATCCAAGCCACAATGGAAAATTTTGGGACATGAGCAGGAAACCAAATCAATTTGTGTCATTCAACCTTGTCCCTCCTCTCACGGATATGGTCCCATATCCATGCACCTCTAATCTGAGACAAAACAGCAGCAGAACCAAAAAGTCCCCAAGCCTCCTCCCTCATTTTCACCAGCTTTCTTAGGATCCAGCTAAAATGAGGCTTACAGTCAACTGTCCAAAAATCCATAGCCTTGAAACAATAAGATTTGAGCCAAGCAATCCACAAAGAGCCCTCATCAGCTAGAATTTTCCTGATGAGCATGAAGCAGCATGCCCTACTCCAGTCAGAAAGTTTCCTCAAGCCCAGACCACCCTCTGATCTTAAAGAACAAACCTGACTCCAACTCACTCTAGCCCCTCTAGCTGAAATATCACAACCTTTCCAAAAAAACCTCATGCATAAATTTAAAGATTCTTATAAGGAGAAGGAAGGGTTGTTTTCAATCATGATTTAATAAAAGAGAGACTTCATTATACTTTAGGTTTTTAAACTCGTGCTCTTCTTTTAGATTGGTCCAAATTTTTTGTTCCACTTATTTTTTTTAAAGATTTTAAATATATGAAGTTTTTTTCTTTATAAAAGTGACTAGTTTTATTAAAATAAAATAACTAAAATTACAATAAATGTTTATAACTATAATCGTAAACTACACACATAATTAAACTATTTTTCAATAATCATTAACACAAAAAATTAGTCAATAATCATTAACACAAAAAAATATTCATTTAATATCATACAGTGATCATATAAGGAAAATGTTAAAAAAACTAACCAAAATACTCGAACAAAGATAGATACAAATAGATTTGACTGCATCGGTAAATGAAACACAAAAAGAGATGAAAACTACTTAAAGACTACTGACAAATCGCATATTAGAGTTGAGTAACGTGAGAAAATTATTCAAGAATGCAACTGTGTATCTTAATCTAATCTAAGGGTCTAAAGTAGGAAAGATCGTCATGATAGCAAATAAGCATCATCTCGATCAATCGAGGCGTCGTCAAATCTAACCTTGAGAAAAAAAATAAAAACGAAAAAAAAGCCAATCAACCGAAAACATGTCATAAAGACAGAATTATTAAAAAAATAAAATTCAAAAGAAAAAAATATATAATATAAGAAAATAAATGAAAAACAAGAAATACTGACGATCGACAGCCAGCCAAGTAAACATAAAAAGAGTGAGCAGCACAAAGGGAAAAAAACCTAGGTAAATATGTGAACTTTAAATATTTTCAAATTGACAGTGTTTACGTATTTAATTCGTGGCTTACCATAATAATTTGCATATACTAAAATTTTAAATTTATCAGTCTATATGCTACTGCTCATGATGGAGGTTAGAACAAAGACAGAGGATCAGTGATTACTCTCACTGGGTAAAATACGTGATTTCAATGATTGGAAAATGCAGATAATATATTGCAGGAAACAAGAACTTACACCATAAAGATGATATATCCTTTATATATAGAACTTTATGTATGTATTGTCTACTTCAAGACAAGGAAACATTGTTTTGCTTAATACATCCAAAACAAAACCTAATTCATGAATAACAAATTTTCAAATGAGTTCTCAAATGGTAGGGGAAAAAAACGAAAACATCCTACAGAATCCATCATTTGAAGAACCGGATATGGAAAAGAAACTACTTTCTTCCCTTCTCTTCTTCTTTCGCCAATATAGTATCAGTGGCGAATTTAGAAAATATTTTTACGGGTGAGCACATATGTATTTTAATAACATAAATTTTTTGTAAGGAATAGATACAAATAAAATTTCAGGGTGAGCACAACCAATAAAATTGATAATTACCCGAAGAATATTCGGATTCTATAATAGACACTTTGGCGTGGATCTGCATCAGTTCAGTACTCTCATAAACTTTTCCCATATCTGTAAATATATATACTTCATAAAGAATATCCACATCCATAGTGTACACACAGAGAGAGGAAATTTCTTGATTATTCGTAGTACCTGTTATCAAACATATATGAACATATACTATGGATATTGACCTAATCGAAGCTCCAAATCTATTTCATGATCTTCTTGACTACTTCCACCAGCCTTGTTGTTTTCATTATAGTGTACATGGGATGGACCGATTCTCAAGTTCAGACTCTGAGACCAATCCTCTTCGACTCTAAATGGATTCATATACCGTGAATTGTCCACAAATGGTTCATTCCCATGGTGTGTGTGTTGGGGTCTAAAACCCCAACCCCATGATGCTGGGAAAAAAGCTTGACAACTCACATAATGTGGCTGATATCTTTGAATGGGCGGATATGAATAAGACAATCTAAGGCTCGAATAAATCTCGTCAACCGAGCTAGGCCGATTGCTCTTGGCTCTATCTTTCCTGTGGATATTCATGTGCCCTCCCAATGCTTGTGCTGTCATGAACCCTCGCTTGCAAAACACGCACTCATAGGACCGGCCGGTGCCCGTGCCCGTGACGTCGTTTCTTTGCTCTGACCGATCGGTCTCTTGGCTCGAGCTCTTGGAATCTTCAAGCTGATGGTTGGTTTCCATGGAAAGACTGAATTAAGATGTAATCAGCAGAGAAGTAAATCGATAGAGAGGTTAATGCAACACAAAAGATGGGTATTATAAGCGAAGAAAGAAATAGACGAGAGACAAATAAAGGACAGAGGCATTGGGTATGAACTATGAAGAAGATTTCTCTGAGAGAAACAGTCTCTGATCATTTGTTTGCTGTGAGGGCTTTTCTGATGGCCGGCTTCTGCCAAGTTAATTATATTAAATGCTAAACCTGTTCACATTGAAACCATAATTCTCATATGAATCCCTCATTTCTTTACTAAAAAAAATACAACTGAGAATTAACATTTTCGAAGTTAAAACACAGAATGTTCCATCTGATGTGTTAATGTTTATGAATTATTGCAGCAAAGAGGAAAAGAAATAAAATAAATTAACCATAACTTGGGTAATTATGAAACTGGTGAGGAAAGACGTAAGAAGCTTATTGCAGAATTATTTGCATTTGTCCTTATTAGAAAACTAATTTCAATGGTGTATTTACACAGGAAAAGGATGATCTTTCATATCAACAAGTACACCAATTTATAACAGATACAATGCTCTATTAGAAAACTAATTTCAATGGTGTATTTACACAGGAAAAGGATGATCTTTCATATCAACAAGTACACCAATTTATAAGAGATACAATGCTCATCAGCTTTCCTCTAACTGCCTAACAACTCCAGCTAACCACTTAACAGACTAACTGCTTAATACATGTGCATATTTCTTTAACAGCAATACACGTGCATGTTCTTTAACAGTCTAACATTCCTCCTACTTTCTAAACCTTCTTGATGAAAAGATGAACAATTGAATCGAAAGTGCGGATGCTTCCTTCCGTTCACTTTGAATCGAAAGTGCCGATGCTTCCTTTCGTTCTTCTTGAATCGAAAGTGCGGATGCTTCCTTCCGTTCACTTTGAATCGAAAGTGCCGATGCTTCCTTTCGTTCTTCTTGAATCGAAAGTGCCGATGCTTCCTTTCGTTCACTTTGAATCGAAAGTGCCGATGCTTCCTTTCGTTCTTCTTATTCACCTTCATTTATTTCTTCTTCATCCTCTTATACAAGGATCTTGACAGACTAAAACTACTTGATATGAAGAATTTGAACAACTGACGAATACATTTTTTGTCCTCCTGTTTGAGCTAACAAAGCCCACATTTTCCTTCTTTCATCTGGAATTCTTTCAGGAATCAAAACCTTTTTATTTTAGCGTACTCGTTCATATGAAGTTGCCGCACTTGAATCCGGTGTGGCACCAGTCCACAAACTGAATGGTGCGCTTGGTCTTGATGGTGGCAATGACAACGTTGATGTCTTTGGGCATGAAATCACCACGGTACATCAAACAACAAGCTATGTACTTGCCATGACGAGGGTTGCACTTGACCATCATAGAAGAGGGTTCAAAAACACTGTTGGTAATTTCAACAGCTGATAGTTGCTCATGGTAAGCCTTCTCGGCAGAGATGACTGGAGCATAAGACGAAAGCATGAAGTGGATTTTGGGTAGGGACCAAGTTGGTTTGGAACTCGATTACATCGACGTTCAATGCACCATTGAACTTTAGTGAAGTAGTCAAAGAGGAGATCACCTGAGAGACAAGACGATTAACATTGGTGTAAGTGGGTCGCTCGACGTCGAGAGAGCACCTGCAAATGTCGTAGATGGCCTCATTGTAAAGAAGAACAGATACATCGGTGTGCTCCAAAAGAGAGCGAGCCGAGAGAACACTATTGTAGGGCTCAACAACAGAAGTAAAGACTTGAGGAGATGGGTAGACAGCGAAACCTAGCTTGGATTTCTTGCTGTAATCAACAGACAGACGCACCCGAAGGAGAGAACCAAGACCAGAACCAGTGCAGTTATCAGCGAGCTTTCTGATACGGTCTAAGCACAAGTTGACGATCTCCTTGCCAATTGAATAGTGGCCACAAGCAAAGTTTCTGGCAGCATCTTTCTTGCCGCTAATGAGTTGCTCGAGAAGAGCGAGGCCGATTGAATAAGAACACCAACAAAGCGGAAGAGAAATGGTCGCAGTATCATAGTTGAATGATTTCATCCGTTCTACTGAAACAAATCAGACACCAGCAACATCATTGAAACATTTGGTCGAACAGATTGAAAGCATGCACACCGAACAGGAACAGAGATAGAAGATGAATTGAGAAGATTCCCAGTAACTATGATGATGACAACGATAATCCACACGTACCGTAGCAGATAAAGCAATCAAGAACAGCGGTTGAGAAGATCAATCACCGACGAGAAAATGTTACCAGGATCACCGAGGAGAATGGAAGCAATTAGGAGCAGAAGCAACAGAACAACGAAAACAAAACTGAAGTTCGGAAAAAAAATCTACAAACTATGCCGTAGTAACGGCAGGAGAGTAAAGGAATTCAATCGGCGCAACGACGGAAGCGACAATGACGCCAGTATCTTTTAGCGAATGATACCATATTAGAAAACTAATTTCAATGGTGTATTTACACAGGAAAAGGATGATCTTTCATATCAACAAGTACACCAATTTATAAGAGATACAATGCTCTATTAGAAAACTAATTTCAATGGTGTATTTACACAGGAAAATGATGATCTTTCATATCAACAAGTACACCAATTTATAAGAGATACAATGCTCATCAACTTTCCTCTAACTGCCTAACAACTCCAGCTAACCACTTAACAGACTAACTGCTTAATACATGTGCATATTTCTTTAACAGCAATACACGTGCATGTTCTTTAACAGTCTAACAGTCCTTGAGAATAAGCTTCTTCTTTTTCTCCCACCAAAATTAATGGGAAACACTTATCTTTTAACAACTTCGTTTACTATCACACTTTTGCTTCACAAGTTGAGTCATTTTCCTAAACTTTGCAGTCCAACATTCTTACGTTAAAAGGGCAGGTTCCTTGGTTACGTACATGGGAAAATGGCAGCACTATTAGATTTCCCACCAAATTTACGTTCCCACCCCCCAGTTGTGGCCTCCCGGTTCCCAAATTTTATCGTGACTAATTTAGATCGATTCATGTCGCACATATAATTTTAGTGAATGAATCTACCATTAGATAATTTCTGATTCGAACTTAAGACTTGTTTAAATAATATTAAACTGCTTACCACTTGAATCAAACTCATAAATAATTTTTTTTCAATAATTATGAATTCCTTTTTTAATTAATCATTAAAAGTGAATATACAATTTAAGTGATAACGTGTGTGACTGTTGTATTGTTCAAACAAAAATATTAAACTTTAATGACAGTGACATGTGACATCTTTTAAAATTACAATAAATAAAATTAAAGAAAATTTAGATTTTGTCATGTGTCACCAATGTATTGATCAAATAAAAATATTAAGAAAACAACACAAACGATTAACAACGCCAAATAAAGTCAAAGAAAATTTAGATTGTATCGTGTATAGGTGAATATAAGAAAAACATGTCAAGTCACTGTTAAGTTAAAAATAGAAAAAAAACATAACATTTATAATGCTTTTGTCAAAAAAATAAGTTAATATTCAAAATAGAAAAGAGATGGTAAGCTAATGATTAATGATGTGATTTACCCGAAGTATTAAATAAAAGTAAAGTAATTTAAAATTTTATTTAATTGCAACTCTCTGACGTAGCAAAATACACCTAAAATATGCGCAAAACAATGATCATTGGAAATGTCAACATATTTGACCGAGTCTGCCATTTTTTATTATTATTATTTTTTGATTAAGAGTCTGCCAAAATTTGATAAAAGCGAAAGGAGATGATAGGACTCTCAAACATGGACGACAACAACATGAGTACCATAGTTGTTTTCTTGGGTAAACTACTAGTTTAGTAGTTGAACTGTTACTTTTATTCTGTTTTAGTATCTAAATTTTAATTTTTTAAATATTATAATTAACGTTTAGTTTAGGTTTCAATTTGATGTATCGTCGTTAAAAAATTAACAGACTGTTAGATTGACTTTTTTTTATTTTTTTCAATGATGACATGATATTATCGTATTTGTGACACGTCAACAGCACCGTTAAATATTTAACAACGAGACACCAAAATGAAACGGAAACTAAATGTTAGTTATGATTTAAAAAAATTTGGGTAAAATACACTATTCCTCACTGAACTATACTTTCTCTCATATTTTATTCACAATACTTTTAATTTTTTTTAATTTACTCACTGAACTTTCGAATTACTCCTGTTTTGATCACTATGAATTATTTTATTATTATTTTTGTATGATGTGTCATTTTTTATTTTTTAATTTGAAATAATTGAAAATATAAAAAGCAGAAGCTGGTCGGACGCCACCGTCGACTTCCATAGATGGTGGTCGTTCGTCTTATTCGTCTCGACCCATTGAGTTCGAATCTGGTGGTTGTTTCACCAGAAAATGTCCCAAAACCCATGAGTATCGACCGAAACATTTTGGCTTCCTCACTTTCGATCTCCACTTTGTGGATTTCAGAGCAAGTTCCGGCAAAATTGAAGGCGGATTTGGACTCACGGTGTCGAGACGAAGCGACCCATGAAATTTGGGATCGAACAACCACCATCTATTTTTATTTTATATTAGATAATAATAAAAAAAGTGCCACATCATACAAAAGTAATAATAAAGTAATTCAGAGTGATCAAAACAGGAGCAATTTGAAAGTTCAGTGAGTAAATTAAAATAATTGAAAGTACAGTGAGTAAAATAGGAGAGATGATATAGTTCATTAAAGAATGATATAATTTACACAACAAAATTAAATACCAACACAGAATAAAAAAATAATTTAGATATTAAACATATAGTTTATTCTCATTTTTTATTCATGGTGTATCAAATAATATATAAAATATAATATTAATTTTAAAATACATATAACAACGATAATAGGTTGATAATTTAATTTTGTAACAATTTAGAGTATCATTTATCTTTGATGATTATAAATATCTATTAATATAAGAAAACATTCTAAAAATCTAAAATAAAAATAAATCACAAAGATATCTTAATAAACATCAACTAAAATTTAT